TGAAGAACAAATCTTTATTGTTCAGCATTTAATATTAACTCTGTAATACATGTACAATACACATGTACTTTTCTCTAAAAATCATTAATATTGACAGTTGGTTAAGAATGTGCTCCCTGTGACTGAAAGCGCTGTATAAAGTAATGAGTATACATGAAAAAAGAAGCAATTCATCACTCCTTATTAATAAAAGACTGATGACGTGTAACCTAATCATCTTCATCCTCATCTTCCTTCATGTCTTCTTGTCTCTTCCATACCTTCACTGGTCCCTCAGATCCAGCTGACAGTAAACACGCTGAATTAGGATGATAGGAGAGGGAATATACAATACAAGATGATGATTGGCTCTGCTTTAATGTCTGCACTACATTTCCCTATAATAAAGAGATATTAAGAGTCTACACTGCTAATAATGAAAGTGTCTAAAATAAAAGTATCAACAAAACAAAGGATGCCTATTTCAAAATTTAATTGCTTTAGGATAAAATTGAATAATAAGAGTCTACTACATGATAAAGAAACTGCCTAAAATGTATCAACAAAACATTAAATGAGCCTATTTCAAAATTTTACTAATAAGCCTTAGATTCCCAAATCACAAACTCTATACAGATACTTTTATTTCAAATGGTCAACAAAAGAAAGCATTTATTCACAATTACTCACTTCTACTAAATCCCAAAAGTAAATCTTTCCATCTTCCGATCCACTCACAATATGTGAATCATCATGAGTGAGGGAACTGTCTATCTTATACTCCGTGTTGGAATGACCTTTGAACCTTTAATAGTAAAAATAGAAAGAAAGAGAAAAATAAATAATGTGAAATGTATTCTTGAAAATGTGAAGGAAATAGGAAAACAAAGAGTGAAGTGAGAGAGAGAGGGAGGGAGGGAGAAAGAGAGTGTGTGTGTGTGTGTGTGAGAGAGAGAGAGAGTGAGGGAGAGAGAGAGGAGGCTAACGTGTTCAGTAATTCTCCATTTTCCTTATCTAATAGTCTGATATGATTATCAAGTGATGATACTAGTACACATAATCCATCCCTTGAAAGACTAACACTAGTAACAGGCTCTAAAAAATAATAACAATAATAATAATACCATATAGCAGGTTTTTTTCGAGGATAATAAATTTCGCGAATGACCCATATCCAGAAGTTTGCGGAATTAATTTTTGCAAATTTCCACTAATCTGCCATCTTGTACCGTATTAAATTAATTTTCAAGGAATTTAATTTCGCGAATCATTTAAAAAACCGCAAAAATTGCTATCCTCAAAAATTTCCCACTATACGGTAGTTAATTAACTATAAGTAATAAGTTAACGTACGTCCTACTGTGTCTGAAAAAAGTTTGCCAAAACGAATGTCATAGCGACGAGCTTTTCCATCAACTGATCTGTTGAAAAAACAAATACATGTATTATTATTAAAAAAATATATTCATGTATTTAGCCTATTTAAAATGTGTCACACTAATATATAAATTTTTCGTCATAATCATATAAAGGTTACCCAGTCAAAATTTCATGGTTGGATACAAAGAGTGATGTAATGCTATCTTTTGCTTCCTCCATCACTTGTATTGGGTCGTATGTACGTGACTTGCAATCCCAAACCCTAACAGTGGAATCATAAGAACCTAATGAACAGATACAATTAATGAAAAAATTTCAATGCAATACATGTATATGTAGGTTATACTCTACCTGTTATGATGACGGATGATTCTTCGTTAAATTTTACGCAATTAATAGCCTAAAGTAAAGTATATAGTAATTGGATGAAGCTAGTACATGCACATGTACAATAATGACTAAAACTGATTGTACATGGTATCAAATACATATATGTACATGCATTTCATTGCAATTGGGACTCACTCCATAGTGTCCTCGGTATTTCCTGATTGGCTGGCCAGTACTGACGTCTAGCAAGTACACGACTTTGTCCCTCCCTCCACAAATAATTCGACCGTTGTCATGGGCACTAATTAGAAATAAAAAATTATTATCAATCAACATGTGTGTAATTAAATTTCATACGCTGTTGCGTCTAATACTTCTTGCCCCGGCCCCTTGTAGGTTTTGATTCCCAGACCCCGGTGGGGGTTCCAGAGCCTAACTGTTTTATCAGCACTGCATGTTAAGCAATATTCTCCACTTTCTAAAGAAAATAAGGAAATAAAGAAACACATATTTTTAGATTCTTAACATCATTTACTAGTAAATCTAATGGCTCTAATGGCGTCTTGGTGCCCGTGAAACTCGTGAGCTAGCTGGTTTGGGAGAGCCGCCATTTTGCCTGCTTTGGCGGGAGAGGGCGGACACCTCGTCTACGCATGCGCAAAAGTTGAAACCTAGCCCCGCCCATTTACCATCTCATGCGCTATATGCTCAGCATTTTGGAGGAAGAGGCCCCAAAAAGCATTAGAACCGGATTCTCACTGAACTAGGAGTAATAATAAAGAGTAGAAGATGATCATCACGGTCAAGACCTTACAACAGAAGACTTTTAAGATAGAGATAGAGGAATCAGCCTCGGTAATGGAAGATTTTGTGTACATGTATATTTATACATGTAATTATGTTACTTTAAATGTCCTTAAATAAGAAGGTTATTGTAAAGCTACATGTAAGTGTATGAAAAGTTTACAATAAAAGGCAAATACTGGTTTTTAGTTGAAGATAAAACAAGTAATTGCTAAATGTACCGAATCACTTTTATTAATAGTTGATCCATTATTCCTAATGGAATTGATTCTACCGCTTAATTTTTTAGGTTTTAGATTTGAAAAAGGCAATAGAGGCGAACCAAGGAGAAGCATTCCCAGCTGCAGGCCAGAAATTAATATATTCAGGTAATTAATTTAATATTTAGTATCATTAACATTCTGATAATAAAAAATAATAATGATTCCATTCCATTCAAAATGTTGTTAATGTAAAAATGATAATGACACTATTTCAGCAATGCAGTACTTTATTTATATTGGTTGTGTGTACTTTTTTTGAAATCATGAAATTCAAACATAGTTATTTTTTGCTGAGATGAAAGTTGCCTCCATAGCTCAGCGGTTAGAGCACTGGTCTTGTAAACCAGGGGTCGAGAGTTCAAATCTCTCTGGGGGCTGTTTACTTTCTTTTTTTTTTTCTTTCAAAATTGCTCACGTAATTTTTTTCTTTTTTTTTCAGGTAAAATTTTAAATGATTCCCAGCCACTATCAGACTACAGTATCCAGGAGTCGAATTTTGTCGTCGTCATGGTGAGCAAGATAAAGCCAGCTCCTGCTCCGACGCCAAAACCACAAGAAGTAATTTAATTTATTTATTTAGCGGCCAAACTTATTCTTCCTCTTTTTTTATAGACTTCCAGCACCTCTAGCAGTAGTACCCCGTCCACAAGTGGCGCTACGCCCCAACCATCGTCCAGTGCAACAGCTCCAACTACCACTAGTGTCCCAAGGTCTGTCTATATTTTATATATTTTTAGAAAGATTTATATAGCACCTTTAGCAGCTGTTATTTTTAAATTATTTACAGTTATTTCCCAAGAGAATATGCCTATTAATTATACTATTAAACATAATTACATGATATGCCACAGATAATTTTATAATATACATGTAATGTACTTTATATTGCATTATTATGTGATGTAAAGTTAAAGCTATGTCCACTTTGCCCTTAGTAGCAACTTTAACTATATATGTACAAGTACATGTATATCTGTGTGTGAGAGAGAGAGGAAATAGATTAACCTTATTTTATTTGTTTTAAATGACAAAAGGAAATTTTTGTTATTTTAGCT